GATAGCACAGTGGGTAGGGTGTTTGCCTTGCACGCAGCTGACCTGGGTTCGATTCCCAGCATCCCATATGGTCCCCTGAGCACTGCCAGGAATGACTTCTGAGTGCAAAGCCAGGAGTAACCTCTGCGCATCGCTGGGTGTGACCCAAAAAAGGAAAAAAAAAAAGTAAAAAGACAGGAGAGACACCATTCATCGACTCGAGGCACCACTCCAAAACCTCTGCACAGTCCTCAGGCAGTAATTAAGGTCCTCATGCTAATCCCACAATGACAACTACAGATGCAAACACTAGGGTCCGGTAGAGGAGGCTGACATCTACCCACGTGCGTTCAAGGAGGGTCCCACCACCTGCATATTGGACCCCTGCTCCAGATACAGTGCCGGGCAGATACTGCAAGCTGCGCCAATCTCTGCAGAAGAAATAAATGCCCATTTCATAGATGAGGGAGGAAACGGAGGTTCAGAAAACCATTTATGCCTGCAAAGTCACTCAACTATTATCAATTAAGGTTCAGAACCCAAGTGGGAGTTCTATCTTCAACCATCACACCTGGTACAGCTTGGCTGGCAGCTGGAATTTGTAAATCATTTTATACTTGGTGCTACCAACGCCCTTCATTTGAATATGCAATTTCAAATCTGTCACTAAATCTAAACTTAGTGAAAAGGGAGAGAGAAGGAAGCTGTCTTGAAAGAAATAGGTTGGACAAGGGTACTGGAGCAATAGCTCAGCAGGTAGGGTGTTTGCCTCGCACACGGCCGACCCAGGTTCGATAACCAGTATCCCATATGGTCCCCAGAGCACCGCCAGGGGTAATTCCTGAATGCGGAGTCAGGAGTAACCCCTGTGCATCGCCAGGTGTGACCCAAAAAAGAAAAAAAATACAAAAAAGGTTGGATAATACTCCAGGTATGAAACAACAGTTTAAAAAGCTTTGTTTTGGTTTTAAGTGAGACCAAAGGGGGCAAGTCTTTGAATTTATTCTATTTAAAATAATACGGGGGGTGGGGGGGGGAAGAGGGAAGTGCTTATGGCTCAGTCCTGACTTTGTCCTCAGGGATCACTCCTGGCGGGACCTGGGGGACCATATGAGGTGCCTGGGACCACCCTGTCTGCTTTACTATCTCTCCAACCTTTAGGATGACATTCTTAAACAGGAAGTGTACTTTTCTTAGGACCAGAAAAATAGTCTACCAGGTAGGGCATTTATCTTGCATGTGCCCGACCCAGGTTTTATTCCCGGCACCCCAAGTGGTCCCCTGAGCCCCACCAGGAGTGACCCCTGAGTCCAGAGCCAAGAGTAAACCCTGAATGCCATGAGGTGGGACCCAGGAAAAAAACAACAACAAAAATGAGCATACTTTTCCTGGGGAAAAACAAAAACTATAGTTCAGCCTCTGCTCCAACTTACTAAATACTGGAAGTCCTAAAGTAGGGAAAATCAAAAATAGATCAGTAACTCAACAAATACATATTTTAAGAAATAAAAAAAACTTCCTTCTGTCTGCTCACATTGACTCTACAATATTCTTATTTGCTATGTAGCAGCTCCTCATATATAGTAATAACCCATTCAAACCTCAATCAGAACATGAGAAGATTTGAAAGCTATGAAAGCAATTCACTTAGAAGTCCACTGCAATCAAGTATAAAATAGCATTTCTCAACTAAAAACACAGAGCAAAGATGTACCAGACCCATTTGGAGATCAAAAAAAAAATTCACCAATTTTTAAGTGTTTTATCAATTAGCTATCTAGCCTGGGAGAACAAAAGATAAAAAGAGCATGCATTCTAGAGCTTGGTCCCATATTTTCCATTTACTGTTGAGGAAAGTGTGTAATGTTTCCGTGTAATGTTTCCTTTTGCCTATCCAAGTATGAAAACACTTCCACAGCAAACATCCCATCCAAACTCCCAATTCTAAGGGCGTCATGGGCGTCTAGAACAGAGGAACATCAGAGATCAAACTCTGTGCAGCTTTTTGTTATTTGGGGGCCATACTGGGCAGTGTTCTGGGATCACTCCAGGCTCTGTGCTCAGGGATCACTCCTGGAGGGGCTCAGGGGAACCATATGTGGTCCCAGGGATAGCACCCAGGACAGCCACATGCCAGGCAAGTGCTATACTATCTCTCCAACACCCAGATAAAAATTTGAAATTTCATCTTAAGCAGTACCTTCAACTTCCTTCCACACTAACTACTTTCTGAAGAACTTACACAAACATTCTCTATTCTCTCTTGAATTCCTAAATTACTCACACACACATCTTCGGAGGACACTGTATACACCATGCTTTTCTGAGGCCTGGAGACAGTGCAGTGGTTAGAGGAGGGGTTCCAGGCACCACCTGGGCCCCAACCCCCCAAGGGTGACCCAGAAAATCCTGGAACAACACCGCACCCTCAGGCGCTGGCACTGAAGCTCGGCCCAGGCGGCCCAAACTGCCTGTTGGGAGATAAAGTCCAAGAAAACAGGGCCAAAGAGAGAGAGAGAGCACTAGGGAAGCAGGGGCCTTGCACTCAGCCATGCCCTGTTCAAGCCCTCGCACCCCCAGGACTGACCCCCAAGCACGGAGGCCGGAGCAAGCCCTGAGCACCACCGTGCTTGGCTCAAAAACCCCACCAACCAATAAAAAGTCTTTCTGACTACACCATAGCTATATCCTAAAACTAGTTGTTAATTCCACGAAGTCTTACAATGTAGCATTTTAGATCATATTTCACTGAACTTTTTTAATATTCCTACATTCATGTACTTGTGAGCAAGGGTTGTCCTGTGTTCTTCTACCTTACAGAAGCTTCAGTAGACGGAATCAGATGTTTGTAACAGGCTTTAAAATGCTCACGCGGGGGCAGAGTGAGAATACAACAGGTAGGGCATTTGCCTTGCACGCAGCCAACCCAGGTTCAATTCCCAGCATCCCATATGGTTCCCCAAGCACTGCCAGGAGTAATTCCTGAGTGCAGAACCAGGAGTAACCTCTGGGCATCATTGGATGTGGCACAAAAAAAAAAAAAAAACAAAAAGAAAATGCTCAGAGCCTCATACTGTAAAGTAGCACAAAGGGTAAAATGATACGGTAATGTGGTACCAACTTAAAATGGAACCAAAGCATCTGAGTGCTACTATGAAAAGCTTTCCATACATTAATGCATTCAATACAGCATGGAGATTTAAAATACCTCTAGATTTGGGATGTCATTCAGAGGGAACGTACGGGGTTCACTTGTACGTGGTCCTACATTCAATTTCCCATACTATCCCTCTCCTTCGCCCCCCAAATTAAACTTGTGGCAATGATTCCTTGACGATGATAGCAAAAGCACAGGCAATCAAAGCAAAAATCGACAATGGAATTACATCAAATTTAACTGCATCAAAGGACACAATCAATAGAGTGAAGAACAATTTACAGAATGGGAGAGGAAAAGCATAAATCATATTACTAGTAAGAGTACCCAAATGTTCAAAACCCATAAAGAAAAAAGTTCAAGAACTTCACAGATAACCTGGTATGATAAAAGGTAGAGTACTTGAATAAGATATTTCTCCTGAGACCATATACAAAGGGACAATAAGTAGATAAGAAAGTGTCAAACTTAGCTAATTATTTTAAAAATGCAAATCAAATGTACAATAAGATACAGTTGTTGGGAAAGAAAATGATAAAGGAAAGAACTGCTGATGGAGATGTGGAAAAACCCATTCTTGTGTGCTGTGAGTGGGAACCTTAAGTGGTGCATCTGGCAGGGGAAACAATACGACAGTTACTCAAAAGTGAAAACAGTAAGATCCAACAATCCCATTTCTGGGTCTCTACCATCATCTTGAAAACATATTAGAGCAATGCTAGCCAAGATAGCCAAGGTAGGGGAACCATCTAAATGTCCACAGACAGGTGAATGGATAATACAAATGTGGGCAGAACACTCGGAGAATAGTATGCAGCCCTCAAAAAAGGAAATCCTACCATACCCTACAAAATATGATGCGCTTCACTGGGCTAAGTAAAATGAGAAAGTTACCAGAAAACACAGTCTTGATTCTGTTTGCCGGAAGGTACCTAAGACAGCAGCCAACACTTGAACCAAAAGCTGGGGCGGTTGAAGGTGTGTCTAGTACAGAATTTCAGTTTCTTCAGATGGAAAACTCTGCACATCTATCACACAGCACTGCCCCAGACAGGTGGACGTCATCGGGTGGTTTCTCCCACTGCCCTCTTCTGTCTCAGAACGATGCATTCAATGGGAGGCCCGAGGGTTCCGACAGGGAAGGGAGCACGAGAGAACAGAGGGAAGCAGGGCAAGGAGCCCCCTCCCGCGCCCGCTCCCTTCCCTTGGAGCTGCCCAAGCCTCGACTGGACACCGCGTCCCAGGCAGCGGGACAGGTGCGGGCGCTCGGCCCCCTGTCTGCCCATCCTCCCCGCGGCCCGGGGCGCGTTTCCATCCCCCGCGGCCTGTCCCCCGCGGGCCCACCCGAGCTCACGACCCTGAGGGCCGGGGCAGCTTCTATGTTCGGAGCAAGGGGCGCTCGGGGCCCAGCCGGGCTTCAGTGGGCGCCGCGACCTCGCTGGGCCGGCCCCGGGGGAGCACCGGGCAGAGGCTGGGCAGAGTCCGGGGAGCACGGGGCAGGGGCTGGGCAGGCCCCGGGAAGGGCACCGCGCAGGGGCTGGGCAGAACCCGAGGAGCACGGGGCAGGGGCTGGACAGGCCCCGGGGAGCACCGGGCAGCACCGGGCAGGGACTGGGCAGGCCCAGGCGGAGGGAGGACAATGTCCTGCGGAGGCCGGCGCGACCCGGGACACTCGGGGCCGGGCAAGCGCGGGCGGCAGGTGGGCAGGGGGCGCGCGGATGCGCTCTCGGGGGTCCCGGCGGGCCGGGCTGCACGGCTGGAGGCCGGGGTGCCCTCCGGGTCCGGTGTCCCTCCCGGGGCCGGTGTCCCTCCCGGGCTCTGGGCGTCCCTCCCGGGGACCGGCTGTCCCCCCCGGCGGGCTCACCGCGGGCGGCGGGCAGCGGGTAGAGCTTCTGGGCCTTGAGCAGGAAGCGCTGGGCCCGCTCACGGTCGCCGGCGTCCAGGGCCTGGCGCGCGATGCGCACACAGCGCTCCGCCTCGTCCCGGTTCCCCTCCATGGCCTGCGCGTCCCCGAGCGCGGCGGGCGGAAGCGGCGCGGGGCGGGGCGGGGCGGGGCGGGACGGGCGGGCGGGCGGGGCCGCTGCTCGGCGGCGCGGGCCGGAGCCCGCGGGACCCTCCCCGGACCCTGCCGGGACCCTCCCTCAAGCCCTCCCCGACCCGCCCCAGACCCACCCCCGGGCCCTCCCCCTCGGCGGCGGCTGCGGCCCCCGGGGCGCCCCCGCCTAACCGCGGGCCCGAGCCGCCCGCCGGACCGACCCCGCGGGCTCCCCGGTGCCCTCAGAGCGCCCCGCTGACTCGGGGCGCTGACGCAGCGCGCGCGCGCGCGTGCGTGCTTGCGGCGCTGCCCATCGCGCCGCCCGGCCGGCCCTGCGGAGCTCTGCGGCCCGCGGTCCCGCTCGGCCCCGAGGCCGAGCCGCAAGCGCCGCAGCGCGCGGAGCGGTTAAGCCTGGGTGGTGCCACGTGACCGCCGGTCCCGGGGAGACGCGACCCCCCGCGGGCGGGGGGAGACCGGCCACTGAAGGGAAGCCCCTCGAACCCCGGACAAAGACGGACGCCAGCGGTTTGGGATATGACCTTTATTGAGCTCGTCCACCGGAGCGGAAGGAACGTCTGTACAAAACCAAATGCTTGTTACTCTAACTTCTGCATCACAATTAAAACCGACAGTTCTCTAAAAACGGGGAACTCGACCCAAGCCCACTACTCCGGAATCGATAGCTTCTCTGAAGCCACAGTAACACTTAAATATGGTTAAGACTCGAATGCAGAAATTTGGTGGGTTGGGGCGCTAACTGGACTCCCAACTTGCTCAAGGAGAATTACAAAAAGGCAAAATCGTGTTTTTTTCACAGAGATACAGTCCACTGGGATCACCGACACTGGACAGCTGTTCGAGTACTTAGAGTCCTGAGAGAGCGCGGGCCCGGCGGCCTCTACACCGTCTTCTGTTGTCCCTTCTTCCCGATCAGGGACTTGTGGATGTGCGGGATGACACCTGCGGGGGCGACACGGTTAGCAAGCGCGGGCGGCGGGACCCTGCAGCCCCGCTCGGGCGCGCGCGGAGAGCCAAGCGGGCACCGCACCCCGACCCGGGCGCGCGCGGAGAGCCAAGCGGGCACTGCACCCCCACCCGGGCGCGCGAGAGCCGAGCGGGCACTGCACCCCCACCCGGGCGCGCGAGAGCCGAGCGGGCACTGCACCCCCGCGCGGGCTCGCGCCGCGCCGCGCCGCGCCGACGTACCGCCGCCCGCGATCGTCGCCTTGATGAGCGAGTCCAGCTCCTCGTCGCCGCGGATGGCCAGCTGCAGGTGGCGCGGCGTGATGCGCTTCACCTTGAGGTCCTTGGAGGCGTTTCCCGCCAGCTCCAGTACCTGCGGGCACGCGGCGTCACGGCGGCGCGCGCGGCCCCCGCCCCCCGCCCGCCCGCGCGCGCGCTCACCTCGGCCGTGAGGTACTCCAGGATGGCCGCGCTGTACACGGCGGCCGTGGCGCCCACGCGCCCGTGGCTCGTGGTCCGCGACTTGAGGTGCCGGTGGATGCGGCCGACGGGGAACTGCGCGGAAGGAGACGTCGGCGGCGCCCCTCCCCCTCCCCGCCGCCGCCCGCCCGCCCGCCGCCCGCCGCCCCACTGACCTGCAGGCCGGCGCGCTGCGAGCGCGACACCGCCTTTGTCTTGGCCTTGCCCGAGTCCTTGCCTGCCTTGCCGCCGGCCTGCGGGGGTCGCGCCGTGAGCCGGACGCCCCCGCCCGCGCGCCCCCGCCGCCCGCCGCGCGCCCGCCCGCCCGCCCGCTCACCATCTCGCTCCCGCGCAGTCACGCTCGGCTCGGTAACGGCTGCGGGACGCAACGACGCGGCCGCCCACTCGCCGCCGCCGCGATTCAAACTGCGCCGGCTCCCGCCTTCCCCGCGCCCTTTATAGCGCGGCCCGCGCCCGCATCCGGGCACCCGCGCCGCCCGCCCGCCAATGGCCGCCGCCCGCGCCCGCGCCGCGTCCGGGCCGCGCCGCCAATGGGCGGGCGGGACCGCGCCGCGCCGGCCAATGGGCGGGCCGGATGCGCGCCGCGGGGGCGGGCCCTGCGCGCGCCGCGCCGCCATTGGCGCGCCCGCGGGGCGGGGGCGGGGGTGGGAACGCGGCGGGGAAGGGCACGGCGGCGGGAGGCCGGCGCGGCGCGCGCGCGCGGCGGCGGGGGCGCGCGGCCCGGCGGGTCACGTGCCGGGGGCGGGGCCCGGCGGCGGGGCGGGGCGGGGCGGAGCGGGGCGGCGGGCCGCCTGCGCGAGGTCGGCGAGCTCGCGAGAGCTGCGCCCGGCCCGGCCGCCCCCCGCCGCCGCCGCGCGCCCCCTCCGGCCCCGCGCGCGCCCGCGAGCGCGGCACCGCCGCCACCCCGGCCGGCCGCGGCGGGCTCCTCCCGGCGACCCCGGCCCCTCCCGCGGGGGTCGCGAGACGGCGGCGCCTCAGTCCGAACGACGGTCGCCCGGGCCCGCGCGCCGGCGCGAGACAAAGGGCCTGGCCGAGCCTGAGGGGACGCTCGGTCCCCCGCCCGCCCGCCCGCGGTCACTCGCCTCCTAACGCCGGTCCCGGGGCCCTCCGAGGAGAGACCGGCCTGCGCCCTCGCATCCCGGCCTGAGGAAACCCGGTCACAGCGAAGCCTCAGCTGACGGCCAACCCCTCCCCCACGCGACGGTCACCCCCGGGCTGATGACCGACGCCGCCCCTCAGCGCCCCGCGCCCGCCGCCCCGGGCTGGGAAAACCCGGTCACAGCGAGGCCTCAGAGCAGACTCCCACCCCACCCTACCCCCCCCCCCCCCCCCCCGCCATGGTCGCCCCCGGGCTGCTGACCAGACGCCGCCCCTCAGCGCCCCCGCCCACCTCCCCGCGCGACTGGACGGCGGCAGGAGTTGGGGCGGACGAGTCTCGGGTTCGCCCGCGCGTCGGGGGCCCCCCGCGGCTTCTCTGTGGAAGCCGAGCAGCGCCCGGTTCCCGTGTCTCCACCTGTGTTGCGCACGCGAGGGACGTGGGGTGAAGTTTCTTTCATTCTTGGGCCGTTTTTTTGTCCAGTGCACTGACTCTGACACGGTAACCTGAGGTCCGCCCAGAGAGTGCCCAGTCAGATCACCCAACTCCCCAACCCAAATCGGACGGGTTGGGCTGAGTTTCCTACCTGAAGAGGAGCAGGCGGCTTCCTTTGCCTTCCGTAGTAGTAATTGAGTGAAGATTGCCCACTCGTTGCTGTTCTGGAAAGGTTGTGGCACAAATAGGTTGATACTGTTGTCATGGCTCTCCTTTTCGTTCAGTGCTGTAGCAAACGACTTGACAAATGCTCGTGTCACTGTTTAAAAAAAATATATGAAAGAAACGACCCGACTGTCATTGACTCTCCTTAACAGACTTTTCCTAACTCAGGCCAAATTTTTGACCAGTCAAAACCTAGCTGCACTATGCTAAGTCTGAACACCAGCATTGTGTCAGCTACTGTTGTTCTTGTGTGTTGAGAATTTGAGTCAGTCTCATCCTTGGGAATCTTAAATTCCTCAAACGTGTCTGTCTTGCTTCTAACTCCTGTTCTTAAGCGAAGAGTTATTTGAATCAACGTGGATACTGGAAGAATTTTTCTCAGGGAACTCTACCTTAGGACTCCGGTTCTCTCTGAGATGCCCCCTCCCTTCCCCCCCCCCCCCAAGCTCAAGCTTCTAAGGGACTGCTTGAGCTCTCCATGGCACCAGGGGTGAGAACACACTCAGCTGTGCACCCAAAATGGGTCTAACCCAAGACATTGTTTCTTCACTTACTCAGTGCAACACAACACCAGAGAGACCAATCTCATAGAATAGTGAAAGTATCTGATGAATATATGGAGGGACGTTTTAATATACGCAGAAAAGCTATTCTTCCCTTCAAATTCACATTGTTATTGAGAAGCTTATCTGTTTAACTCAGTTGTTGATGAAACCCAGGTCATGGATTTGAGCTCCAAACTGTCCACTTCTGTGCATCCCATGATCACATGCTTAATTCACAGATATAGAAAGTAGATAACAACAAGATCAGCTGAATCTTCTCTAACCAGATCCACTGCTATTTTAGGACAAACAGGTCAAAGATTGTGGAACACAATTATCTCTTGTAAATATTGCAATATTTTTTCTACACTTAAACCTTAAAAATTCGCTGTTACTATAGAAATACTCATATTTCTACTTGTATTATCCTAATCGTCCCAATGAATTATTACTGAACTCTGATTTGCTGGAAGAAGGAAGGACTCTGTTGATGTTGTTTTCCCAAATAAGGTTTCACTTCCCTATATTAGTATTTCACAACTCTTTACCTCTCCAGCTTAATTATAAATACACACGAAAAGTCCTATCCCTCCCATAGGTTCCTAACATAGCTTGATGATTGTTCCATCTTCTTTGTCTGGAATATACTGACTGAAATGGGATGCCATATCACCTCCTAACAAATGGCATCTAATCCCGCCTAATCCCAGGTTGGTGCTGCCTGCTGGTAAATTTGAACCTACTCCTTAGGTTGTATCACTATAAGCAGGCACATGCTCAAAGCAGAAGCAGTTAAGAGATTGAATTTGGGATACTTAGGGTGTAAATCCTTTCCTCCTTCCAATTGAGAGGATTAGAACAAGAGGGAGTTGCCCCCATCACACCTTGGTTCGGGACTTTGGACCACATCCAGCATTGATGGGGGGTGGGGCGCTGTGTCAGGCCAGTCCCTTGAGGCTGCTCCCAGTGGTGCAGGGAGGAGGGTCTGACAAGGCCTCCTGCCTCCAGCAAGCAGCGCACTCTAGCCCTTTGAGCTCTCTTCCCTGCATGGAGATTTAAAACCACAAAACTATTACTAAAGCTCTTTTAACAGTTGCTCTTTTATTTTTGCGAGGGGTGGGGGAGGGCACACCAGTGCTCCAAGCTTACTCCTGGCTCTATTTCTGGGATCATTCCTGATGGGATTCAGGGAACCAAATGAGGTGTGGGGGATCAAACCTGGGTAAGCAGTGTGTACGGCAAGTGCCCTCTCTACACTCTGGCCCCGAGAGCTGTTTCAAACCTTTACCAAAGTGTCTGTGCACCACCAGTTTAAAGGTCAGCGCAACTTGTGGCTGCAGTGTGTTGTAGAGTTTATGTTTTGTTTTGCTTTGATGCTAGAAATAGAACCCAGGACTTCAAACATGGCAAAGCATGCTGTGTTCCACCAAGGTCTACATTCCCCACCTAAAGAATTTATGTTTGAACAGATAAGGGCAGAGTTCAGTGAAGAGCAGGCTGGACCGAGGAAATCGCAGTTGGAAGATAAAGTGGCAGAGGTTCCTGGGTACAACCCTGTGTGTCTGTGTCCCCATTTCCTTCTGTAAGGGAACTTCCTATTTTTTGTGGGATCCTCAGTTAATCAGAGCTTAAGTTCATTAGACATGGGCATAAGCAGCAGAAGTAGGTCCAACATCTGGGCCTTCTTTATTTTATTTTATTTCCCGCACGGCAAAGCCTGGCTACCCGTGACGTATTCTATATGCCAAACACAGTAACAAGTCTCACAATGTTTCTGGACCCGCTCGAGCAAATCGATGAACAACGGGAGGACCGTGACTGTTATTTTATTTATTGTTTGTTTGGAAGCCACACCTGATGGTGCTCAGGTCTTACTCCTGATTTTGCGCTTAGGAATTACTCCTGGTGGTGCTCAGGGGACCATATGGGATGCTGGAGGTCCAACTTGGGTTACTTTGTGCAAAGCAAATGCCCTACCCGCTGTACTATCTCTCTGGCATCTCTCTGGCCCCTGAGGGCTCCTTTTAGAAGGGGAAGCCCTTCTCTTTTCTTTGCTGGGATGAAGATGTTTGTAAAGTCATTTTGGACCATGATATGAACTGGGATGGTAGGGCACACGTGAAGAAATAATGAATGAAAGAGGAATAAGAGTTTTGGGTACTAATGAACTATCAAGCTTGCCCTGGAATTCTCTTGGATTCACTTTTATTTAGGATGCTCTGTCACTCAAGACAGCTATTAAGCATTACAATAAGTCAGCACACCAAATATTTGTGAGAGTACAGCAGTCTTTCCCCAGAGGGACTGGGAAGTCCCTAAATATTTTAGAGAAGGGAAGAATGCAATGTTCCTCTATATTGGGATGTGAGTCCAGCACGTGCAAGGCAAATCATGGAAGGGAAATTTCCTGTGAGAAGGTTGATGAAGGTGATGCACATCCTTAGTGCTGGACCACAGCGTAATGATGGAACAAAGAGGGTCTAACTCAGCTCTTAGAAAGGGGTGAGGTGCCTATGGGAAAGGGAAGCAGACATCTAAGAAGTGGGGTTTCAGATAGCTGGTCTGGGCAACCAAGTATCGTCTAAATGCTAGGGTGATAGATGCAGATGGACAGAGGAGAAAAAGTAGGTAATCCGGAAATGCCTTTGAAAATACCTGCTTTAAGTTGACATCAGGAAATCCTAATGGAATTTAAGTATGCTGGCAATAAGGGCAAGAGCTTGTGAAATAATCGTTTTTCAAATCTAGATCCCAAAGTATTTCTGACAAGCAGGTTGAGGGTATCAGAACTGTTAAGAGATGAAACTGCATCTTATTAAAATTCTTTATAGTTTATTTGAGAAAAAAATTCAGATGGAGAAGCACCAAACTAGAAGGGTGAAGACCACACCTTTTAGAAAAGGCAAAACAAGGAAATTAGTCTTTAGTCGTTAAAGCTTTCTAATTGGCTGTCCCTGGGTTTTGAGTTCATAACTTTAAGACATCTATAGGCTCAGATTTTAGGGCACTGTGGCATGAGAGCCCTCAATCTAATAGCTTCCTTTTCAAGGAATTTTTAAGTTGACAGTACGAAGGGAAGCGTGAAGCGTTGTGAGTTGAAGAACAGCAAAGGAGACTGAGAGAAGCACCAAGTGGTGTCTCCGACCACAAGGGGAACAGCCACTCACCACAG